GTCCGGACCCCGCGCCGCCCTCGCCCGCCCGGGCCCAGCCGGCCAACACCACCCGCCCCGCGCCCAGCATACTGCCAGCGCTTCCACTTCCGGGAGGAAGTGCCGTGACGTTCTTCCGGCCACCCCGACCCGCGGACTGTCCTTAAAGGGACAGGCGCTGTCAGCCCCAGGGGCTGCCCCGTGTGCTTCCATGGGGGGAGGCTGCTCTGTGCCCCGGATGCCTGGTTCTCCCCCAGCCTGGGGCGGCGTGGGGGAAATCTCCCTCGGGCTCAACGCAACCTCGTCCCATTTCACAGCTGGGCAAACTGAGGCCGGTTGCCCAGCTAGTCGCTGGCAGACACAGCCCCACTCCTTGACCCTCGGGCACCCCCAGGATGGGCGATGAACCCCGGACTCCCTGCTCCACCCAGTAGGCAACCTGCTGCCTCCTCGACCTGGGACCTCGTGGGCCTGCAGCGGGGTCCCGGCTGCCCACAGAGCCAAAGGGCTCACGTGGAGTGGAGCCAGGCTTCAGGGTCCAGCCTGCAGCTCGCATGGGCCCAGCAGGACCTGGCTGTCCCCGCCCCACGGCCCTGGGCCGCTGCACAGCATCGGGTCGGCTGCTCCTTCACCCTGAAGCCCCCACGCGGTGCGCTCCAACCTCCCCAGGCTTGCCCTGCACCCATGACCCAGCCCCGTCACTTGCGCAGCACCGTGCCCCGGCTGGCGTCCGGCGCTGGAGCCCGTGTCCTAGCACCCAGGCGGTCGTGCGGGACGTCAGCCCTGCTCCCCAGGGTTTGCACATTGGTAACATCAAGGCCCGTGAGCAAAGCTGTAGTGACCCCCGGGTGAAGGCAAGGCTGACAGTGCTTGTCACCGGGAGCCCAGGGTTGCTTTCAACCGGAGGAGGAAGCTCTGGTTGCAAAGAGCTCTGAGTCAATCCGATGTCTTTTATTAGACCCACTCAAATAGTTGGAAAAATTACTTTATTGAAACATTCAAATAGTTGGAAAAATCCTTCTATCTATTACACCAATTATTTGAGCTGGCGTAATAAAAGCCAAGGAACCTTGTCCACCTGCATCCACTCCCGACACCCTGATTGCAGAAGCAGCAGGCAGAGGGTCAAGGAGGACCAGGTGCTGGCAATTCACTTAAGGAAGTTACAAATAAGGAACCAGAGGTGTTGGCTGGGGAGGGGCCTCTGTTGGGATAAGCCTGGTTCCTGCAGTGTAGACTTGCTGCTGAAGCAATGGTCAGTGCAAGCCCCGAGGGTGGATGCTGGTTTGGAGCCACCTTGTTCTCTGCTCTTCAACCCCAGCCCCATCTCATGACACTGCCCTGGTTTCTGATTCCCTTGCCAGGTATTGGGGGCTGGAGCCCCTTGTGACCATATCTTTCTTTTCAGTGCTGTTCCTAAGGACTTGTGCAAACTGGACACCAGCTCCCAAAGCAACACCTCAGCCCCCAGCAAGCGGCAATCTCATCTTGCTGAGCGATGGAGGCAAGAAAAGCCACCAGACAGGATGATGCTGAGCTGCCCAAAACCCTCGAGTCCCTGGTTTGTGTGAATCTGGTGGAGAAGCAGAGGGGGGAAGGCTGCCTGGGCTTGGATATAGGACAGTAATTGCAAGCAGTGCTGCTCATCTTTGGGGCAGTTCCCTAGTATCTGAGGGGCCCAGGGTAAAGCATCTCCAGGCTGCAGCTGAGGGCTTGGTGCATGGGTGGGAGTCAGCTCTGCCTTGTTTGCAAGCCTGAGGCACCCAAGCTGCTTTACCCTCCCCAGAGGGTTTAGCACTGCTACTGGTCAAGACCACGGGCTCCCTTGGGAAGGCTGCCAGGGAGGTCTGCCCCACAGAAAAGCAGTAACTGGTGCCACTTGCTGGCCCTCAAGGCACCCCCAGCTCCTTGCTAACTTCTCCCCCAGGACTCGGAGGCTTCTCTGTTTCTCTTCTCAGTCTGAACGCATCAGGGCCCTGCTAACAGTGCTGGAAGCCCAGCAGCAACGGCTCCAGGAAAAGACTGCCAGCCTTGACCTGCTGATGACGGAGCTCGCCGGACTGCGGGCCTCTCTCAAGGTTGAGTATTGCCATCTCTTCCTGTCTGCAGGGAGCAGGGGTGAGACCAGCCACAGGTCACTGAGCTGCAGGCAGGAAACCTGCCGAGCCCCAGGATGCAGCACCCTGACCCCAGAGCTGGGCACCTGGTGAGGATACCCCATGCTACTCTAGCTAGCATTGGGGGAACTAATTCCCAGGCTTGTGGTTCAATTTTTAGGCACCTGCTGGGATGGAGAACAGCTCCTTGGCTCTGCAGAAAGAGAAGAATCACCCCTGAAGTGCTAGCTGGGTTGGCCTGGCCACCAGCCTGTTGCTGGAAGAACCCTTCACATAAGCATGCTTGCTGTCCAGGAAATATGTAGCCCTTTCTCTTTTGAGCTCTGCTAAGCTGGCTTTGCTTTGTCCCCTGATGCTTGCAGCATGGAAATAAAGTGATTTATGTGCCCCTTTGCCACTCTAGGAAAAACTGCAGCCCTGCCCCAGCCAAGAGCAAGTTAACCAACCAGCCCCTGTAACCTGCAGGCAGCAGAGACTTGCTGACCCAAGGCTGTAAGTGAAAGAGGAAAGGGAATTTCCCTTCCTGCCCTTAATTTTACACTAAAAATGCAGCAGGGCTAGGCTTGGGCAGGACACAGTCCTTGCAGTACACACACTACATCCATGTTCCTATCTCCTCCCCACCTTTCTCTCTTCTATTGCAAGACTGAGCCAGCCCCAAAGACCAGGGGGGCTGTGCAGGAAGTCCTCCCTTGCAGGGGTGCAGGCCCTGCAGCGGAGCTCAAGCTACTGTTGCTCCCTCCCAGGAGCTGCACCCATCCCAGGGAGAAGCTGGAGGGCTAGGGCCAATGGAGCAGAGCTCTGCCCTGCCTGGCGTTTGCTCCCTGCTTCCCAGCTGCACTAAGGCTTCTTTCCTGGAGAGAGAGACAAAGAGCTGGAATTCTCCTCCCTCCCTTTTCTGGTCCCTGCCTTTGAAAAGATGTTTGTGTGTTTTTGTGGCTAGACAGTGCTGCTCTGAAAGGGGCAGGATGCTAAACACAGGCCAGGGCTTTGTGTACACCAGCAGCTGGCAGCTCACCTGTCTGTGTGGGGCCTTCGGATCCCCAGTCAAGGTGCCTGATTTGAGGCCTGCATGGAGTCCAGGTGGGTGTTGCACTGCCCAAGTCTGTCATTGGATCCAGCCCCTGGACTACAGGCACTTCTGGTTTGATGGGGGGGGCAGAGAGAAGCTCCAGGGGGTTGACAGGCCAGTGCTCAGGGCGCTGCCTGAAGGTGCTGGTTGGTTGGGTTCAGACCCTGTTCTGCCATATGTTGAGGGGGGTGGGGACTTGCATTCAGCTGGGACAGCAGGCACTTCCTCTTCTTCCTGAGCTATTCTGGGGTGCTCAAGACTCTGAAATCCCAAGGCAGAGACTGCTGAGATTGGTTTAAGAAGCCTTTCTCCCTCCCAGCTCATGCCCTGGGGAAGCACCTACCATATCTGGGGTTTTACAGTGAGTCTTGTTTTCTGAGCAAAACTCATTTAAAATCTGTGAAGCCTCCCCAGACAAACCAGGCAGGGTGCAGGCTGGTCTACAGCCCAGCTCCCAGGGACATCTGCTTTCTATGGCCACCAGCCTCCAGGTCTCTTGGTCACTGAGCCGTATGCAGCAAAGCACATGGGAGCCTCTTTTCTAGGGCAATGCAAAAGGCTCCTGTTTTCCTTCCTCCTACACCTCAGAGTGGCAGAGCATATCCTGTTATAATCAGTGGGTTTGGGGACAGTGAGCACAGCCTAAGGAGCTCCGAAGGCTGGGCTTATTCCTCTGTGTACCCCAGCACATTCGACCTACGTGCATGTACTGACAGCAGGATGGTGGCAGGTCCAAAGCCTCAGCTATGTGCATGGGCAGAGGTGTGGTGCACCCACCCCTGGGAAACGCCAGTGCCAGAGGAGGTGCAGGGGGCTCTCACCCATGCCCCAAGGAAGGATCCTGACACCACCAGGTTTAAATAAGCATTTAATTAGGATTCCATTAGTATTAATATTGCTTTCAATTCCAAAAAAGTTAATTTCCACTTCTTAGCAGATATCTCAAAGTACAATATTAACTTTATACAAAATGAGCAATTAAGCAAACACCGTTATTCACATTTTACATTCTTCAAAAATACAAATTCATATTTACTCTTTTTGGGGTTTTGGAGATGCTCTTCCTTTGGAAGTACTGTACCTGTAACTGACATCTTCACATCGCTCAATGCACGTACATGTGTTCCCATGTTTCAAAGTTAAATAAATGCCTTTAACACCAGACACGCGCTCTGGAAAAGCTGATGTGTTTGGCTTTAAAATCATCTCCAAGACCACTGCCCAGCTCCTAGCATGTGTCAAACAAAACAAAAGCAGGAAATAACTCTTGCAAGCACAACCTCGATTTCCCGGTGCGATGATTCTGCAGAGATCCATGCTGAAGAGAGTGCTCAGTAGCTAACCAGGGTTGCCGATAGCATGGCTGCCCGCCTCCCACGTGGGTGCCAGCCTGTGTAAGATGCAACACAACTGCAGCTTTTATTCTCTGTCGAAAATGAGGGTCAAACAAATAGCTCCAGTTTGTAAGCCAGTGAAAGGACGTGACAATACACAGCGAGGGGAAAAAAAAAAACCCGACCTTTTACGCTGAATACTGGCAACCGGAACTACGAGACTGCAAAAAACATCCCCTTGATTTTGCTGAAAAAGATCATATGAAAACATTTCTGGTAAGAAAAAGTAGAAACTGCATTTCGTCGAGAAAGTGTACACTGCATAACGAACCAAATTTTGGCCAGGTTGCACACCACCGAAAGCATGGTGTGGGATTTTTACACTTGTTCTGAGAACACGCACACACACACACGCAGACTATGTACACAACTACATAAATATCCAGTTTCATTTGCATTTCTCAGTGCAGACACAGAATCCAACTTCTAGAATGGGTGGGACAGACCAAGACACGATGCAAAAAGTTAAAAGTTCAGGCCTGTCCGTGATATCGACTACAGGTAACATTTATAAAAACTGGACGTTGTTTCCAAAATATGTTAAGGAGGAAAAAAAATAGACCAATAAAAATTAGGCTGTCAGGTATCTGAAGCAGTATTAAAGATGCTTTTTTTTGTTTTTTCTTTTGTTTTCGGTTTTGTTTTGTTTTTTTTTTTTCCTTACAGCCAAATCTACTCTAAATAGCCACTGTTCTGCCCAGCTAGCTCTTGGTAATAATACTTAGCACTTAAATAGCACTTTTCATCTGGAGATCTCAAAGCACTTTACAAAGATGAATAAACATCCTCCTCCCTTTACAGATGAGGAAACAGAGGCAGAGAGATAGCAAGATTAAGTGACTTGCCCAAGGCCCCACAGGTATTCAGTGGCAGAGCTGGGACTATTACCCAGTGTACTGCCCTCCGCACCAGACCACGCTGCCTTCCCATTGCAGTTGCCTTCTGTACGTCACCGTCAAGTAGAGAATGGTTTTTAAATCTCCAAGGAACTCCAAAGGCCAATCACAGCTCGAAGAGCTGATATCCCCCAGCAGTCCCAGATCCGCACACTGGGCATCAGTTCATTTTCCAAGCCTTCTTTCTAATTGATGCAGGAAGAGAATTGTAAACAGTTTAACAATGTTGCTGCAGTTTCCAAACACACTAGCTTGGACTCTGCGGGAGAGCCCCTCTCCGTGAAATAAGGCAGAGAACATGACATCGAACGTGGTCGGGAGGAGAATCTCTGGAAGGTGCAACATGCCTGTCTAGGAACAGCTGCTTGTCACTTCTGCTGGGGGCTCGCTTGGAAACTACGGGAGGGAAGGATCAACGACAGGTGGACCCAGCTGCAAACGCCCATCGCCTCCAGCCGAAGTGACACGCAGCTCATCAGAAAGCAGGAGAGAACGGGCCTGCCAAAGTACAGTGCTCTCCGTGGAGGTTTTGCATAGATCAGACGTTTGCTAAGGATGCATAATTTCGCTTCTGTACAGAGTAGGGCGACAGGTCACCGAGCTAATGACCGCACAGATTCAGTTCTTCAGACAGACACAGACAGACAGACAGACCGACCACACGGGACAAAGATCTTTAGCTACAAGTATTGCACCGAGATAAGTGCTCAGTTTTGTACACCCCTGTTAACTTTTACTCAGAGCAAAAATAAAACTTTGGGAAAGTATATACAAAAGAAATTGCAGCAATCGGGTTAAAGATAAAATCACCTAAAGTGCATTGCAGATACCAGCATGAGGTTCCTCAAACTAGTCTCTCTGGACGCAGCCAGCGTGACGGGAAGTCACAGCCCTCTCCCTACTTTGTTCCACGCGATGCAGTACCAGCGTCTAACACGGGCTGACTTTTGTCCCCAGATGCCTCTATGACCTACACGTGTGAAGAGCAGGCTCTCCAGCCCCCAGCTACGCAAGGCGAGGTTGCTGGCACCCCTCCTTGGCCTCCAGGTGTTAGTAGTTAGACCTGTTCTCTGTCCTATTGTCTTTGTACCCCACTAGTAGCTACAGGTAACCCAAAAGCAACCCCCTCCCCCCAAGGAATCAACCAGGAAGCGCTTTCACACACATTGACGCAGAGCAGTGCAGTTTTGCTTCGCAGACACACAGACAGGGATCCATGGCTGGGATGCAGGACACGGGGACAGCACTGCCAGCAGAGGCCAAAGCACTATCACAGGAGAGCAGCCTCCCTGCCTCCACCAGGAGACCAACGTGGGGCCTGCCATCAGAGGGGAGCCTCCAGCCTCAGCTGGGACTGCAAGGACCAGCCCCTGGCCAGGCCCTCCTCTTCTGCAGCGAGCCCACCAGGGACATCCCAGCAGGGTGCAGGGACTGGCTATGCATTACCTGGAGCAGCACAGGGACTGGCAGGCACTGCAGCAGCAGGCTCAGACAGACAAGGCATGACTACATCTTGGCAAGCAGGCCAGAGGTTAGAAAAGCAAATGCATTAGCAAAGCAGTTGCATCAGAGCTGCGTGGGGACAGGCTACACCAGATGTTCTCCCCTCCTTAGCTCCACCCAAGCCGAAACTACAACCGGACGTCAGATGCACGTAGACCTGCTAACCCTACCTGTCTGGGCAGAGACAGAGCCTGTGACACACTGAGGACCTGGTGATGAGACACCGCACTTGCCAAGGCTGAAGCTATGAACTAAGAAGAGCAGAGATGTTACACACTGCTCATCTGAAGCAGAGAGCACACGAGAGGGTGCTCCTTCTCACTGCTGTTGCCCACTACCTTTCTAAAGGAGTCTCCCATTTCAAAAGCCTCTGGGGATTTTCTTCTTGGTCTCTAGTGCAGGGGGATTTCCAAGGATGCTGCTAGAGCTTTATTACAAGTGCATATGAGTCAGCCCAATTAAGCAGCCTCTACACTGCTGACTGCTGTTCAACAGCAGAAGTGGAAGAGACCTCTGTATTACCCTCTTTGGAGCAGACAGCTTGTGTTTGCCTGCCAGCCTGGCTCCACTCTGCCTGGACCCACAGCAAAGCCCTCTTCAAGAAACTTGTCTCTGACTTACTGCACTGTGAACTGGAGCAGCTGAAGACAAGGCTCAGCTAACCCTGCTGAATATGAAAGTCCTTGGCT